TGGGGTGCACCGGTACCTGCCCGGGTGTCCCCTGCAACCAGGACTGCCCATCCCGGCGCCGTGGGGAGACCCGCAGGTGCTCGGGGAGGCCCCGCGCTGGGCTGGTCCCATCGCGCGCGGCCGCGCTGCCCTTTGGCCGCGCTCCGGGCAGGGAGCGGAGCGTGCTCGGGTCGGCGCTCCCGGCACGTCCCTGGCGCTCCCGGCACGTCCCTGGCGGAGCCCTGGGCACCGGGAAGCGACATCTCCCCCTGGAGCGGCCGCGGGAGGAGGGCAGAGCCGCGCGCGGCGCCGGCCGCGGTGCAGCCGAGGCGGCTCCGAGCATCACGTCCCCGCGATGCGGTACGGAAAGGAGGACCCTGCTGGGGCCCGGAGACGGGGGGGATGTGGTGGGACGGCCACAAAGCTCCCCGGTGGCAGCTCCAGGGTGGCTCAGCCGATGGCTCCTCGCTGGGGTTTTCAGCTCGTCGTTCCCTGCACCTGAGATGTTGCTGCAGGACTTGGCTCCCAGTGAAACCGCTCTAGTTTAAGTGATGCACCAAGGCTGCTTAAACACCCCTTTCCTGCTTCATTTTTTCCCCCTCTCTTTGTTCCCAGGTGGAGATTGGCTTCCTGTTGGGGGGCAGTGAGCGGCTGCGATGGGGGTTAAAGCCAGGCTCCCCAGCTACGAGCTGGGGTTCTACGCGCTCGTCCTCACCTGCGCCGTGGTCTACAGCGGCAGCGGCATCTTCGAAGCCTCCAGAGGTGACATCCCTCATCCCTGGGGATGCAGGAACTGGCTGGGGGATGCAGGAGGGGAATCGCATGGATGGGCCAAGGTGGCCTTTGGATGGGCACCTATAGACACCAATGGGGCCATCTCAGCTTTAATTTTGGCGGAGAATATCCTGGGAAACCCTTGTATCCCATCCCCAAAGGGGTAAATACCCCCTCCATCCAGCAGCCTCTGCTGAGGATCTGCTAGGGATCCCTGGGAGCACGAGGCGCCCAAAGGCTTGGCTGGAAATTGGTATGGAATTGGTTGCGGTTGATGATCCCTCTGGTTCTCCATGGGAGCTATTCTTTTTTGCAGACAGCATGAACAGGAAGGCCTTTCGGGATGGCATTAAACCAGGCTGGCATTACTTTGGCAGGAAGATGGTAAGTGGAGGAAGGAGCTGGACATTTCCTAGGGTGACAAGGGCAGTGGTGAACGCTGGAAAAGCAGGGCTGGTTTTTCTGCTGCTGACACATGTTTGCAAAGTCCACGTGACCTTCCATTCTTCCCCAACTCTTTTCAGTTTGGCCTTTAAAGAAGTCAGGGAAATACTCACCCTGCGGCACAGCAGAAGCTCTTCTCTGCATGCGCCTCTGGGACAAACAATCTCTGCAAATCACTGCCTGGGTTTTATAACCGAGCTAAAGTGCTTGATAGCCCTTGGGTGGAAAATGGGAAGAATGGGCTTGGAAAACGGTGTGGTGATGAGATGCCTTGCAACCTAAATGCCCCTTCAGCCCTCAGCAAGACAGGCATTCAAGAGCCAAGGCTAGGTTGGGTCAAGGCTTGGGGCAATAAGGTACCTGCTCTAATTGTGCAGGACATGGCTGATTTCGAGTGGGTGATGTGGTTCACCTCGTTCAGGAACTTCATCATCTTCGCCCTTTCGGGACACGTCCTGTTCGCCAAGGTTTGCTCCATGATCATGCCACAGGTGAGCAAGGGGCCCAGGGGGTGGGTGTAGGAGCAGGAGATGATGCAGAAGAGGCTCCTTGAAGGCGCTGGGGGGGATCTCTGCTACCATTTGTCTGCAGGATGCTCAGGGTTCGTCCACAGCTGATGGATGTTTGTTTCTTGCGCTCGGTGTGGGTACCACCCATAGACCAGGCTTCCTGCACATAGCATGGGCACTGGGGTTGCAAGAGCATCTGGATTTCATCAGTCACTTGAAGGCTAAGAGGTGAAAAACCACCAAGCTTCCCCAAATCAAGGCCAGGATGGAAACTAAATATATGGTCCATTGAGGAAGAACAGCAAAGTGGTTTGTGAATGTGGAGTGGGACCAAATGGCAATGTCAGGACCCAGATCCATCATGGGCTCCCTGCCGGGGCTGCTGCCACCCCCATGCAGCAACCCACGATGGAGCTGACCTGCAAGACATTTTAGTTCATGGTTTTAGAAGCTGTATTAAATATCTTGGCTAGCTGTAACTCAAGACGGGGTCGGGGTTTCGCGGCGCTGGTCACGGAGGGGACGTCTCTCCTCGCAGCACCGGGCCGTGGTGTACATGCTGTACGGGCTGCTCTCCGTGCTGGGCAGCATGGGGCTCGCCTACCTCATGATCATCCTCTCCCACTGCGTCGTCCTCTACTCCGTCTCGCTGGTGAAGCACAAATGGCTCTGCTACGTGGCCGGGCTCTGCTCCCTCGCGTCCTTCAAGCTGGAGCCCTTCAGCTCCTGGCAGGTAGGTGCTCTCTCAGGCCACCCTTTTGTTGTATTTCAAAGCTAGCCAGATCCCTCTCCTTGGATTTACCTCCAAGGAGGTCTCCTGAGAGCCCTGAGTGCTTCTCCTGGCTCTGTCACAGCTCATAGGGCTCAAGAATGATCTTGGGTTCAAAGGCACACTTGCAAATAATCTTGCAAAGCTGTGCCCTGCTCTGATGGCTTTGTGTTAGGCCTCAGGACATCTGGGTCCTTCTTGCTGCTTGGACAACAGCCCAGGCAAGACATGATGCTGCGCTGTGCCTCAGTTTCCCCACCTGTAACACAGTGCTAGGGTGAGTTCAGTGACATCCATACCTATCTCTTAGGTCCCTGCCTAGTTAAGGCTTCTGCCCTGCTGGAAGGCAGAAGATCAGGAAGGACCTTATAAGGTCCTTTTGTCCCCCTTCCCACCCAAGGAAGGGCAGTGATACCTGACCTTGCCCATCACCTTCTCCACCACGTCAGGCTTGTGCTGCTTCTCCTGGAAGCCCAGGGAAGGCTTCAAGCCCCTTTCCAGGACATGGGCTGGAGTGAAATTCCTGCAGCTGGAATCCAGGGAATGCAGCTCGTAGCTGGAATCCAGGGAATGCAGCTCATGGCTGGATCTGAGACCAAACCCCGCTGACCCTGATGCTGTTGCTGATGCAAGTCCAGCTTGGTGAAGATGAGAGAGTCTCCTGGCTCCTCTGGGGTGTGAAAGCATCATGTCCCATTTTTATTATCCTAACAGCTAAGACTAATTAGCCATGGGAGAAATTGCTATCAGAGTGTTAATTGGAGGCTTTAAACCATTCCCCCAGGAGTGAACATCCTCAGAAAAGCAAGGACGTGCAGAGGTGACGTGAGGTGTGTGGTGGTAACTCTTCATTTCTCACCCAGAGCGGATTTGTAACGGGAGCTTTTGATCTTCAAGATGTCCTCTTCTATGGGGGAAGCGGCTTCACCATCATGCGCTGCATGAGCTTCGCGCTCGAGAGCTGTGACAGGAAGGAGGGCATCTTCTCCATCTTCGACCTCCTCAAATACAACTTCTACCTTCCCTTCTTTTTCTTTGGGCCCATCATGACGTTTGACCAGTTCTATGCTCAGGTAAGCGCCCTGGGTACCTCCTGAGACCAGTCCACAAAGGGACCGTTCCCCTTGGTGCTGTGTTTAGTTTGGCTTTAATGCCTACTAAAAAAGATCATTTACTGGAGTGGAGGTACAAACAAATGCAGACCTTGAATGTAGGCTGCGGATGCGATCCAGGCTCCACAAAGATGCCATGATTTTGGGGGGGAACATAATGACACTAAACTAAAAAAGGTTTTTTTTTAAAAAAACATTTCTCAACAATTTGTCCCTCTTGGGCATCTAGCCATTTCCTACAGTAAAACAGATAAGGTTGTGATGAAAACACTGAGCTTGACCAGGGATGGATATAGTGGAGGTCTGTGCTCACCAGGTAAATTTGCACTCTACTCAGTGCCTCAGTTTCCCCACTGCACACTCAGAGGGTTGTGCAAGCATGAAGATCAGCTGGGTGACCTTCCCTGGCTTTGGGGGACACAGGCTGTGCTTGCAGCTGAGAGCAGATGGTTCAGTGCTCACAGAAACTGCCCACCACGTGCTACCACCCCACTGCTCTGTGCTCCCTTCCCTGTGGTGCTGGAAAACCATGTGCAGATGTGTCAGCATCTATCTGCCATGATCACACACGTATGACAGTATGGGTGCCCTCACACCCCATGTTTTTGCTTGTGCGGAGTCTTCCTGTCTGGCTGGTTTGCCCTAGGAGCAAGAATTACTAGAACTGATCTATGTACCTTAAGATTAAGATGTTTCTCCAAAAAATAAGTAAGCTTGGGCAGAAAGGTCTTTACAGCAGGTTGTTTTTCAGCTATCTCATTGGGCTTCCTCTACTCCCCATGAAATGCTCAGGTGTCCAGAGCCCCTGTCTGTATTGGGAATGACCAAAAGGACTGTTGAAAGGAGCATTCAAATAGCCCTGGAAAACTCACCAGCAGAAGCCTAGCCTGTGATCAGCGGAGGGTCAGGGTAGATGGCAATTCTCTCAATTCTTTGTATCCAAATATGCTTTTACGTAATTGATAGATCTCCATCAGCCAAGGAAAACATTACTGACTCTTGAAAAGACTCTCTTGCCTGGGTGGTGATGGGGCTGGGGAGCCTATTTACTAACTGCCATTTCCCTTTTGTTTTCTTTTAAAGAATAATTATGTAGAATTTAAGGATCCCAGGTGGATATAAGAACATTTTAGAAATGCCTTTCTGAATTCAGAACAAAAGCCAGCTAGCACCCAGGGCAGGTGAGAGCAGCCAGGGCATCCCTGGTGTGGAGGCAGGACGACTAAAGACTCCTCAAACTTGCTGCTGGAAGGGATTCCACCTGAAAATGCTGGAGAGCAGCTGGTAACCCTGGCAAGGATGGGGTGAAGCGGAAGGTTGTCCTGCGGTGGCATTGCTTGAACGATGGGATCTGCCCAGATGCTGAGCTTGTAGGTGGGCAGCTGCACGTCTCCAGTGCCAGCCACGAAGCTGCTGTTACTGCAGGATGAGAGCTGATCCGAGCCCAGCTCGTGCAAGGCACAACAACCTTGTGCTGCATCTTGAAGGGATGGGACCACATCCTGGTTGTACCCGGACTGAATCAAGATCCCTTGGAGTTCAAAGATCCATTTAGAAGGAAGTTGGGCCCTGAGAATCCCAAGAACCTGCTCCAAGCCAGCAGTGTCCCCTCGTGGTGCACAGAGTTCATCAGCAGCTGGTTCTCTGCAGACAAACATCAAGGACTGACCTCAGACAGGCTCTCCCCCCAGTCCCGCTCCTCCACAGCCACCAGAAATGCTGTTGGCACCCACTGTCTCATCCTCAGGTTCAGCCTTTCCAGCTGGGATTTATCTGTGGAGCTGAAATTCCAGCAAACGGGGCTCTGGCAGCCTCACTGCCCAAGCTCCTCCAGAGGGGACACAGTGCCCAGAGGGGCCCTTCCTGCCCCATACTAGTTTCTTTCCCCAGTTCCCATCAATCTCTTCTGCGAGATGGTCACAACCTCCCATACAGGCAGCTGTGGCTTCTCCTAATGTCGATATAAATTGTGGTATTAAAATGTGGTGTCTGCAAGACCTGAACTTCCACTGCTCTTGCAAGACTCAATCTATGTTTTACTTTTCTTTTTTGACACTTTTTGCAGAGAGATATGCTGGGATATTCATCACCACGTAAGGAGCAATTCTCCCTTTCTTTTTAAAGCATCTCCTTTAAAGGCAGAGGGATCAAGTCCCTAAGCATTTTGTCCCCTCCAGCAAGGGACCTGTCTTGGCCTGGCCACCACTGCCACCTCCTGGCTACATCACCCTGCACTGCTCGAGCTGCAGCTGATAGCAGAGGCTTTTGCAAACTGCCCAAAAGAAATTATGGAGGTAGAAAGATCAAGTCTCTTTTCCAGGATGGATGGGGTGGCCCAGTTAGAACCTCTCTCTCTTTGGCCCCTAGTGGTGCTACCCTTTGGTGGACCCCTTGTGTCCTCCATACACAGTGAGACGTTGTCTCCAGCAAGGCTGGCTGGTCCCCGTTGGGCTGAAGAGGTGGCAGTGAGGGACACTGGTCTAGTGAGGGGCTCCTTGGATCACCCCCTGATCCTAACACCCAGGAACACCAAATGCCATGAGCTGAACCCATGTAGTGCCCTAAAGCCGGTTGTTGGCCTTGCGAATCCTGGTGCCTGGCTGCAGGAGAGCCGAGCTGGAGATGGATCTTCCTTACTGGGATATGGGGAACAAATTCACCTCTGAACAGATGGAATTGTGTGTGTGGGGATAGCCCCCATCTCAATGAGATGGTGGCAGGATGCTGTGACCATGCACGTGATAACAGGAGCTGATGGGAGCAAGAGCGCCATGCTCTGCAATACAAGTGGGAAACCATCACCGGTGGGAAACTGAGGCCCTGTGTCCACTGCTGTGTCTCTGCAGAGTCCATCCAGCCTCCCTTAGCAGATCTTCTGTCACTCTTCACCTTGCTGGAGCCATCCCTGGCATTGCTGGGTGGCATCAGCTGCAGGGATAGCTGCTGGCAACAGCTCGTCCCTGCTAGACTGAGTGGCTGCCTCAGCTCAGGCTTCATTTCCTTGAAGAAGGAGGGTCTTCGGTGCCCTCTGCATATAACAGGATCAAGCAAATCTGGCAAAGGCTTTAATTCCCGGAATCATCTGGTTTTGATGACTGGGCTATTGCGGCAGCTTGCAGATTACTCTCTGAGAACTCCCACCTCTCGCGAGGAATAAAGAGAGTAATAAACATAAGAGGATTTTGGGTACAGCAGCAATTTTTACGGCAACGCGGGGAAGCGAGGCCATCAATCTGCCCAGTGTAATCCTAAAAGCTTACCCTGATGATTTTTATATTACAACACCCAGAGACATGACAGCTCCTGGAGGCATAGCCTGGCCTGTGCTTGCACTGGGCACAGCAGAGAGAAAAGCCCCTTCAGTCAGTCCTAAATCTTGGCTCCCTGATGGGTCTGACTTTGTTTAGATGGAGGAACTTTCTGCTCAGTTTCTCCTTCAGTTCAGCCCTTTCTTGGATTGTCATCCTGACAGGTGAGCACCCGAGAGCTGCGGCGCAAAGATGACGAGATGAGGAGCATCCGGGTCCATGCTGTCCTCAACGTGGGGGCCATCATTGCTGTGGACATCTTCTTCCACTTCTTTTACATCCTCACCCTCCCTTCCGACCTGAAGTTTGTTAACCGCCTCTCGGACTGGTCCTTAGGTGAGTGGCCCTGCGGGGACATGTTCACACATGTAGTTGGCTTCAAGGCAGCAGCGATGGATTCACATCTTCTGCCCTCTCCGTTGAGACACTTTGTGAGGGCCCATGTTAGCAGGTTCGAGTAGAGACCCTCTTGCTGAGAGTCTGGGCTGAGCTCAGTATGGCTATAGGGGAGTCTCAGGAGGTCTGCCTAATGTCTCCAGCTGCCTAAGGAACATCATAGAGAAGATGATGGTGGCCTATTCTTCTCTTCTTGCAGACTGGCAGTGGAAGAACAGAAAAAAAAGGGACACGAGTTGCAACAAGAGAAAGTTTGATTGTATATAAGGATTTGTTTTTCATAAAAAGAATGGTTAAACATTGCAACAGGGGTCTGAGAGCTTATGGTGTCCCAAAAGATGGCAATGTTCAAAACTCACACATACAGGTCCTGAGAAACTTGATCTTGATTCAAATGTAGCCCTGCTCTGAGTGGGGGTGGCCTGGAGGCCTCCAGAATCCAAACTCTCTGGATGAAAAGCAGGAGCTGTGCTCGAATTCAGCTGGCAGATGGGCAGTGGATTTCAGCTGCTTAACCACGTGTCTGTTGGCAGCATTTGAGATGCTGTAGGGTGTCTGACCTCCATTCAGGGCTGGCAGAGGGAGAGTCAGAGCTGGAGGAAACCTGTGTCTCTCCGCAGTGGTAGCTGGAAGCTGGGCAGGAAATCCTAACGCATCTAGAATAGCAGTAGCTGTTGATTCAGACTGTCTGCATCTGGATAGACTGATTGCAGAAACTGAGGGGCTCTGCAGGCTGCACTCACTCTATCAGTCACGTCTCCATCATCCATGGTGGGAGCTCAGGCACATGGCTCATATTGAGAATCAGTGTGGCTATTAATCTGAGTGCTGGATCCCCCTCTTTTTTAAGCTTCTGCTTCTAGAGGAATTTGAAATCTTTGGTGCGCAGGGATCACTTTTCCATTGCCAAGCACTTCTCCAAGAAAGGACCTCTCCTTTTCTGGCTCCTGCACTCTTGCAGGATCCCTGTTACATCTATGACCACTTTGGGGGATATTTGACTGGAGGTGTCAATAAAATCGCGGTGGTCAGAGTTGAAATTTTTGATCAGTTTGTCACTGTTTAACAAATCTTAGAGAAGAAAGAGCTTGTGAGGGAGGAAATGAAGTCTGTGTGACTCTCTCAGATTACTAATACCAACCAACGGTTCCCTCCAAAGCCTAAAGAAGGTATTATTCTTTGATTCAAGCTTCTTAAAAGGCTACTTAGTTTTAAAAGCTCTGTTGATCCCAGACAGTATTAAATTCTTCCCCTGCTACCATGTTTGCTGCAATAGACTATACAATCTGTTGGTCCCCAAGATGTCCCCAAAGTCATGAAGGTGATGCGTCCTGTGCTCCTCTTCATCTTTTGGCTTCTGTTTTTGCTCTAGCTGGCCTGGCCTACTCTAATTTGGTGTACGACTGGGTAAAAGCTGCTGTCATGTTTGGTGTCATCAACACCATCGCCCGGCTGGACCACTTGGACCCACCACAGCCCCCGAAATGCATCACGATGCTCTACGTCTTTGCAGAAACGTGAGTAGTCTTCATACAGTGGTGAAGAGAGGCAGCACATTCGATCCAAAAAATGTGCATGAAGGGGAGGGGGTCTTGGCTGTGCTTCAGAGCAGCTGGCATACATGTTAGAAATGGGCTAGGCCAAATAGTCTATTCTGAATGGATAGCCTAGGCTTGGCCATAGCTCAGGGAAAATATTACTGGGCAAGGAGCAATGGATAACAAGGGAGATGATTGCAACCAACTGTAGGAAGGATCAGTCTGATCAGAATTGCTGAAAATTAGGTTTAGTTGTATGTCCCTGGGTGACTGCATACCTTCTCTGCATGACTGTTGAGTAAAAGGCAATCATTAACCCTTGTATTCTAACACATTTTTTATTGTCTGTATTTTAGGCACTTCGACAGAGGGATTAATGACTGGCTATGCAAGTAAGTCTATAACCAATTTTCTCAAGGGTGGTTTGGTGTCTTCTTTTTCATCACACAGCAATGAAGCATTAAACATTATTCATCCCAAACCTAGGGGATGAATGCTGGATATATATCCCACTTGAATACAGAGCCAGGCTCAGTCTGCTTATCTCAAAGAATATTAACCACCCCAAAATGCAACAGCCTTCACAGGGAGGAATAAGAGAACCTTGTCTCAGAACACACTCTAAATCTGAGAGGTTTAGTGTTCCCTAGAAGGAGGAAGAATGAGGTTTATATTCCCTCAGGAAGAAAAGGGAATTGAGTTCAGGTGCCCCAGTTCCAGGATAAGAAGGTCTAAGATAACCTGCAGGTCTATGGATCCCTGTGTTTCATCAATAAAGGAGGTATTTTGTCCTTGGAGGAGCTATTGGTTTGCAAGGAATATAAGTAATGAATAGTTGGACTGTAGTCAAAATCAGTTTATTGCTAGAAATTGTCATCGCAAACTTCCTTCCCCTCTCACCAGGGCACTCTAAAGCCACCTATCTGTGAGGACCTGTGCAGAAAAAGGGATTCCTGGGGGTTGTCCTCCACTACAGGGAGTACCAACGGCTTTCTTTTGTGTTAGGTATGTGTACGATCACATTGGGGAGAACCATGACAATGTTGTGAAGGAGCTCAAGGCCACCATCTCCACCTTTGCCATCACCACCCTGTGGCTGGGGCCCTGTGAGATCGTTTACATCTGGTCCTTCTTCAACTGCTTTGGCCTCAACTTTGAGCTATGGGTGCAGAAGTTCTTCCAGCGGGAACCCTTTGCCAAAATGGAGGTGAGGAGCTCGGCTTCAAGGGGATGGGAAGATCAGAGGGTCTGAGACCAAAATCCGGTCCTGGAAAACATCCATTTTTCTTATGAGCTTGAACTTCCTTATACAAATGGAATCTATTTTCAGCAAGAGGCAACATCTCTGATGCTGTACAGCTGCCATGTCCAGGTTGCCTGCCTGGAGATCTGCAGCTCTCTGCATCCCACAGCCTTTAGCATCCTTGTGATCAGCCTGTCCCTTGTGCAAGGGAAGGACATTCCTGGCGTTGTGCATCCCATCACTTTATGTATGGTGTCACCCACCTAGATCAAGCTCCCCCCAGGCCCTGTGATGCTTCAAAGGAAACATAGGCTGGATGTGGAGCTTTCAAAAGGAAAACAGATGCCCAGGAGAACCAGGACTTGCAGCCCCAGTGAGGCATCAAAGTAGCACAGATGGACTCAAAGTCTAAGGTGTGTTCACAGCAAAGTATTTATGCATTTCCATATGGAAATTATTTTTTTCTTGTTCTGCAAAACATTTTAGCATTCTGAGTATTTTCAGTGTGATTCGTGATAAAAACAAATGTTCAGTTACTACAATTAATTCTTTTCCAACCTCTCTAAATCTTGGTGTCCAAT